TAGTGTTCTCAGTATTCCAGTGAAGTATTTCAGTAATTTATTCCCTTTATATTCTGCATCACAACTCAGTGTTGTCTGTTAAATTTTATCCCAGCATTTGTGTATTCTTTGCCAGTTTATTACATTTTTCTCTGTGTGTTGAACATTTTTTGTGTTAATTCTTTTCATTCAGCCAGTGTCTAATTTGTCTTATTTCCACAGACAATAGTGCCGTTATTTGGGCAAGCAAGAAAATTGTTTTATTATCAATTTCTCACCCCATCAAGTTTCATAGCAAGAAAATTCAGTATTGTGTTTATATTGAGTTTTTGTGTTTCTGCATCACGTAATGTTCAACCCTTTTTGTTCTGTGTTTTTTTGCACCTATTATTTTTCGTTTTTTCATTGAACAAATTCACTCTTAAATTGGCAATTTTTAATTTTGTTCATTTAAAGTAAATTGTTCTTTTGTTTGTTAAGTGTTGCTTAAGCGCAGTTTAAGAGTTAAAGTGTCACTCATTTTCATTCCTTGCTAATATTTTTTTTTAATCTTGTAAACTGTTTTTCTTGTGTGTAATTTTTTTTTTAATTGCACATTGACTCATTTTGCAATAATTCTTGTGCAAGCATTGTGTTGTCCATTAAATTTTTTTCTTTCAGAAATTTTATGTAGTGTTGTGCAGTACTTTTGATTAGCAATTGTTATTTGCAACTTGCTACATTTTTTATTTCAGTGCAGTTTCTTATGCTCTGTTCTGTAAATAATATTTTTTTTCTTTGTGTGCCTTTTTTATTTTTTTTTAGTGAATTGTTTCCCATTTTTTTTAATTTTTTGCACAAGCTTTATTGAGTCCAATTTAACATTTTTTTGATTGATTCATCATTTTATTGTTGAATTTCCCTATTGCATTGAGAGTAAAGACAACTCACTGTGCCATTCATTCAATTTTAAAGTAAAGTTGAGGAAAATTTAGATTTGAAGAAAGTACAAGTTCTCTTGATTTCCAAAGTGTTGTTTTTTTCAGTTGAGTTTTCTTGTGGATTTCCTTGCTTTTTGTGTGTCCTGTCAATTTTTAATTACTTATGCAGAACAGTTAAGCATTTCTTCCCATTTAAGTCACTGTGTCGTGTGTTCCTCATTACCTTTTCTTTAGTTCTTTTAAATTCTTGTTGTACATTTTGCAAATATGCTCAAGTCTTCTCAAGCAATGCCTCAGCATATTCTGCTAGTACAATCATTGATGCATCAGTTCACAATTCGAGTAATCCTGTATCAAATAATAGACACACTCAGACTTCTAGTCTGCGTATTTCAGTCGTGATCCGTAGATGCTATGCCATTGTTCAATGTAACCCAGACAACCTAGAAAAGGGTTTGGGTTTTCTGCTGTTCGACCAGAGCTAAATGCTTCAGTTGATGGTCTTCCATCAGAGAGTTGTTTAATCAGTATCGGAAAGGAGAGTCTAGCCCATTCTCCAGCAGTCTCATATGTGTTCAACTTAATTCGTATGAAGTACTTTCAAGATCTAACTAGGGGGAAAGATTATGAACAGTAATTCGTAACTATCTTGAACCGGTGTGAGAAACCGATCCTTTTGCCCTTCTCAAAGAACTAGTGTGCACAGCTCCGAGGCCAGAGGAGTCATTAGATGAGTTTGCCCTTCGTCTTAATAAAACCAATGTCCTCATTCGTTAGAGCGGGTCAAACTTCCAAGTACCTTAAAGACAGTGATAAACCAGCCCTTGAAGGGTTTGCTAAATTAAACACATTCAGAGTTATCAAACAACTAATGCCACCGACATCTATGTATGTGTACAATTCAAGTCCTCTAAATGCTACTATGGGACCGCTCACAGCTCTCATCCATGTACGAAATTGTGTCCCGAGGGAACCTTCCCTTATCGAAAGTCTACGCCCAAACCCCTTTGTCTACTCCTGTACTTCCTCAGTATGTGCTACTACCAAAACCTTTCCCCAAACCTAATCACTCGCGTCCATCATCCAAAGCAAGTGTTAAGAGCCATCATTCCCGTAGCACCCGTAGTATTACAGTACCCACAGTCAAAGAACTTGCTACAATTGTGGTTTCCGGGGCCAAAATTTCAATTAAGTGTCCTGATAGTCACCCTAAGAGGCGTTGTACTGATGAGAGTACCAGTCAGATCTTCCCCACTGTACTTATCATAGAAATATGGACATGAAAACATCTGAGTGCAATGTTCTCTACAACCTTCAGTACCTAGATCTTTCCGTGGCCGTTCCAACCGCAGAGCCAGGAGAGGAAACAGACGTCGTGGTTCTCAAACTAACCAGAACCAGGCTCATTCTTCCAATTCGGGGGAATCCAAGCGCCCCAAATCTACTCGTTCAGTCGTGACAGTAGGGGATAATGATACACCCATCCCAGTTCAAAATTCCTATGAAGCCTTAGCCATCTTGAGAATGACAACCCTGCTGCTGAGGTTGCTTCACACATCTCTGACGTAGAGGAATTTTTGGGGATGAAGTAGAAAATGCCTTCTCCGATGACAACCCACCTTTCTGTTTGCACATAACTCCTAACGAAATGATAGGTCCCTTTGGTACAAGCTTCTATCCATAATGCGCCCGTTTTATGTGTTCATGGACTCTGGTGCACAAGTTAATATCATCAGGTCTAGCTTGTTTAAAAGAAGCAGTACGACTGTCCTCCTCGTTGAACCAACTACTGTAACCTCCCCTTTGTGGAGTAGCTGGTTCCCTTTTGCGTTCCAAGGTCAGACTTCACTCACCTTTACTATCCAAGGTAGAGACTTTACTGCTGCTTTTCTTGTTGTCGACCAGATTACTTTCCCTGTGACCTTCAAATGGGATTTTGCTTCCATGCGAGACTTACGCATTGTGCTCGACCCTTACCGATGGCATCCCAAATTGATGACTTGATCGTTCCATTTTGGGGTTACCAGCTTGGATCAGAAATCGCCATACTGCCAGAGAGTACGATGTACGGATTAAGTCCTTACCCAAACCAATGCATTTTCCCGTAGCGTACCCAAGCGGTCAGGCACTAGTAACTCTGTCACTCCCATCTGTGTTCCACCTACACCTTCAATATGCAATAGTTATTACCTCAAGTGTCCGAGGATGCCAGACTGCTTTGAGTGCCAGCCTATCCCTGCAATGTCTGCTAGTCCAAGTAGTAGTTTCTCCACAGGGGACGCCTTGTCGGAAAACGATTACTTGAAACTAGTAATGCCATCTCTTGTTGATGTCACATGCCGTCTGCAGAAAGACGTCTCTGTTGCGGCTAGTGTTCTCACTGGAGTGTCTGTTGTTGTTCCTAGTGTTCCAGATGGTGGGTAACATCCTAGTTGACAGTGACTCCTGCAAGGTCAAGGGTTTATTTGTTGAACCTTCCTTACACGTTGTAAGAAACATTAAGATCCATTTATTCCTTTATACCAATCTTGTTGACCTGGTTCACTATCCTTACCCTGTTCAAGTACAGGATGACGTGCCACCTGACCAGTGGTCGTGCTATTTCAACAGCTGAGCCTCATCCACTCCACTGGATCAATCCATTCCACCAGTTGAGGAGAAAGACTTAGCTCCCACTGACTTCCCAGATGAAGTCAAGCGTTTGTTGACCCTGTTAAACAAACGTCATAAAGCCATTGCCTTACCAGGTGAGAAGATGGGTATAACGAACTTATTGTCCCATCGTATTCCACTTGAACCTGGTACTAGACCTATCTATATACCTGCGTACAGAATGCCTCATTCCCAAGTTGCTGTCGCAGAGGAATTGATCAATCAAATGCTCGATGATGGAGTTATTGCACCTAGTAATTCACCCTGGAATGCGCCCTTGATCCTAGTGCCTAAGAAGGACGGTACTTGGCGCCCGGTGATTGACTTTAGGAAGTTAAATGCGAAAACTATTCCAGATCGCTTCCCACTTCCTGTACTAGGTGATCTTTTACGCAATATCAGAGAACACAAAGTCTTCTCGACCCTGGACTTGTTACAAGGGTTTTGGCAAGTCCCTCTTCACGAGGACAGCCAAGAGCTAACCGCATTCTCTACTCCCACAGGTCATTATCACTTCCTTTGAATGGCTTTTGGATAACGATCCTCTCCTATCATGTTCTCTAGACTCATGACCAATATCTTTAGAGGTCTAGGTAAAGCAGTTATGGTGTACTTAGATGACGTAATCGTTATGTCCGAAGATGTGGATACACATCTGAAAATACTTGACATAGTACTTGGTAAGCTTGAAGAAGCCAATTTAAAGATCAATTATTATTATTAATATTATTATTATTATTATTATTATTATTATTGTAATCATGGGGAAGCGCTAAACAGGTAGGATTATATAGCGCCTGTGAGGAGGATGGAAAGTATTCAGGCTTAATTCAGGGAACTGGAACACAGATCCAATTCCCTAAATCAAGAGCCCCTCACCAGTGTCAAGGAACCTCCCTTGAGGGAATAATAAAATAAAATAATAAAATTAATAATAGTAAAATTGATAATAATAATAATAATAATAATAATAATAATAATAATAATAATAATAATAATAATAATAATAATAATAATAATAATGAAATAATATATAACAATGCAATGGTGCTAAATGTGCAAAAAAAAATTACAAATAATTATTTGTTTTTAATAGTTCTCATCGACACCATGCCCAGCCCTTCTAGGGCAGGGTAGGTGCCTGAGCCCGAGCTTGCAGCTCACAAGACTGCCATTCCCATTAGCCCCCTTGGGGCGGGGATGGCAGACCAGAGAGGCCTAGCTTGTGGCTAGGCCTGGGGACAGTTCGTCCCAAAGATGAGGAGGTACTTGTGCCTCCTCCCATGGGAGACTTAGGTCTCAGACACTCCCTAAAGAGGGAGCCAAGGCCGGGCCACCACTTGGAAAAGGCCCGGGCCGGGAGAATACCGACGAATCTTTAATAATAATAAATAGTTGTCAATTTCTTACATGCCAACAGACACTATTTTTTTTTTTTTTTTTTTGCAGGATGTATCACAGAGAACCTTTCAGAAGTTGTGAAGACAATACACATCACTAACAACAACAACAGCCACCACCAGAGTTGGGTCAAGCCTCTGACAACACCTGCACTCCTAAACGTGACATATTTTACTCCACAAAGAACATATAATATTATGTGTACAGTTAACTTTAACATCTCAGACGTCTGGCACAACTTTATTATAACTCTCTCAGTCAGTACATAGTTTTTATGTTGTAGTTTTAACAGTTAAATGTAGAAAATGTTTGTTGTCATGATGAATAATGTTTAATTATGTTGTGTATTTATATATGAAGAAAAAATATCATTTACGCTTCGATAATATTCCTTCGATTTATTTCTTTTTGCCATTTTCCCATCCATATTTTCAACTTATTTTTTATTTCTTTTTTTCCGGGCTGCTTCTTTTTTTTCTGAACATTAATTTTACCATATTAACGAAATAAATAATGCATAATTTATTTTTAAATAAAATAATATACGATTGCAGGTTGATGATAAAAACTTCCCCATTATCACCGTGTTGGTCCCGGAGCTGGGTTTCAACTGTAGCAAAAAGTTCACTCAATTCATCCCACCACTTTACCTCAGGAGCTACAACAACACTGTACAGTGGATCAGCTGCACGACTGATAACACCACAGGTGAGGTTTGTTGTCACGCTCACACACACACACATACACACACACACATACACACACACACATACACACACACACACACACACACACACACACACACACACACACACACACACACACACACACACACAGAAGAGGCTTCTGAGTGAGCTAAATACCTCGAAGACTATGGGACCGAATAACATCTCTCCATGGGTCCTGAGAGAGGGAGCAAAGGAGTAAAGACAGGAAGGGCTCTGGGAAGACAGCACAGAAGGGAACATCAAGAGGGAAAATACCAACAACTGTTGGATGACATACGAACAACCGAGGAGGAGGTGCAGAAGCTGCTAAGTGACCTTGATACCTCAAAGGCGATGGGACCGGACAACATCTCCCCGTGGGTCCTTAGAGAAGGAGCTGTGCGTGCCCCTAACCACAATCTTCAACACATCCCTGGAAACTGGGCAACTACCTGAGAAATGGAAGACAGCAAATGTAATCCCCATATTTAAGAAAGGAAATAGAAATGAGGCACTAAACTACAGACCTGTGTCCCTGACATGTATTGTGTGCAAAGTCATAGAGAAGATTATCAGGAGGAGAGTGATGGAACACCTGGAACAGAACAAGATTATAAATGAAAACCAGCATGGGTTCATGGAAGGCAAATCCTGTGTCAAAAACCTTCTGGAGTTTTATGACAAGGTAATAGAAGTAAGACACGAGAGAGAGGGGTGGGCTGATTGCATTTTCCTAGACTGCAGGAAGGCCTTTGACACAGTTCCCCACAAGAGATTAGCGCAGAAGCTGGAGGATCAGGCGCATATAACAGGGAGAGCACTGCAATGGATCAAGGAATACCTGACAGGGAGGCAACAACGAGTCATGGTACGTGAAGAGGTATCACAGTGGGCGCCTGTGACTAGCGGGGTCCCACAGGGGTCAGTTCTTGGACCAGTGCTATTTTTGATATATGCGAACGACATGATGGAAGGAATAGACTCTGAAGTGTCCCTATTCGCAGATGATGTGAAGCTGATGAGAAGAATTAAATCGGATGAGGATGAGGCAGGACTGCAAAGAGACCTGGACAGGCTGGACATGTGGTCCAGAAACTGGCTTCTCGAATTCAACCCTGCCAAATGCAAAGTCGTGAAGATTGGGGAGGGGCAAAGAAGACCGCAGACAGAGTATAGGCTAGGTGGACAAAGACTACAGACCTCACTCAGGGAGAAAGACCTTAGGGTGACCATAACACCGAGCACGTCACCGGAGGCACACATCAACCAAATAACTGCTGCAGCATACGGGCGCCTGGCAAACCTGAGAATAGCGTTCCGATACCTTAATAAGGAATCGTTCAAGACACTGTACACTGTGTATGTTAGGCCCATACTGGAGTATGCAGCACCAGTCTGGAACTCACACCTGATCAAGCACGTCAAGAAGTTAGAGAAAGTACAAAGGTTTGCAACAAGGCTAGTCCCAGAGCTAAGGGGAATGTCCTATGAAGAAAGATTAAGGGAAATCGGCCTGACGACACTGGAGGACAGGAGGGTCAGGGGAGACATATAAACGACATATAAAATACTGCGTGGAATAGACAAGTGGACAAGGGACAGGATGTTCCAGGGAGGGGACACAGAAACAAGAGGCACAATTGGAAGTTGAAGACCACAATGAGTCAGAGGATAGTAGGAAGTATTTCTTCAGTCATAGAGTTGTAAGGCAGTGGAATAGCCTAGAAAATGACGTAGTGGAGGCAGGAACCATACACAGTTTTAAGACGAGGTTTGATAAAGCTCATGGAGCGGGGAGAGAGAGGGTCTAGTAGCAACCGGTGAAGAGGCGGGGCCAGGAGCTAGGACTCGACCCCTGCAACCACAAATAGGTGAGTACAAATAGGTGAGTACACACACACACACACACACAAACGGGTTTACATGAGTACATACAATAGAAGCACTAAAAACTCCAAATATTTAATTTAAAACAATTAACTTAAAATTATTTTAACATGTTAGAAGCACAAGTCGTTGTATACAGACTTCGTGATTTTACTAAAATTCCTTTTTTGGGGGGATTACCTTTCTTTCGCTTAATAATTTTGTGAGGAATTAAACACTTGAGCATTTTTAAGTGTAACTGTGAGGAGTCCAGTATAAATAATAATAATAATTAAATAATAATAATAATTAAATAATATTAATAAATAAATAATAATTAAATAATATTAATAATAAATTAAATAATAATAATAATAATAATAATAATAATAATAATAATAATAATAATAATAATATATTATCTTTATTAGTAGTATATTATTATTATTTTTATACCTAAAACTGGTAAAACTAATAAAATTATTAAACTGATCGATACCATGCCCAGCCCTTCTAGGGTAGGGTAGGGTAGGTGCCTGACCCAGAACTTGCAGCTCACAAAAGACTCTCATTCCCATTAGCTTCCTTGGGGCGGGGATGACAGACCAGAGAGGCTTAGCTTCTCCCTAAGAGCCCCGTGAGGGCAGGGAATGTGGCTAGGCCTGGGAACAGTTGGTCCAAAAATGAGAGGGTAGTTGTGCCTCTTCCCGTGGGAGACTTAGGTCTCAGACACTCCCTAGACAGGGAGCCAAGGCCGGGCCACAACTTGGAAAAGGCCCGAGCCGGGAGTATACCGGCGAATCTTCAAAAAAAAAAATTGTTAATACAATTGGTAATAAAATATTTCTAATAATAATAATTATTATTATTATTATTACAGTAATTATTGTTATTGAAATAATATTCATCAATCACATTATTTTATTTTTGAAGTGCATTTGATTTTTTAGCATTGAACATATATCTTCTACTTCCCAGTGGTTCCCATAGTCCTAACACCACCATTAGTGGTTACAAATGTCTCGACGCCACCATCAGCATCAACATGTCCACCAAAATCAACTCACCATCCTTTATTCCTGGCTAGTGTTGTACTGTTCTTCATATTAGTTGTGGTCGTCTGGTTTTACGTCTTCATCACCTGGCGTATCCACAACCAGCTGTTACCAGAGAGAGGTGAGAGTAGTCTTATGTTACTGTTGGTGAGAGAGTTGGGCAGTTCTAAATCACAACTTGGTGTAGGTCGGGCGATGTGTTGGGTCAATAGTGATATGATTGGTATCAAGGATTTTGTCAATAACTGGTAACATACTTCTGTCCTTTTTTCAGGCAGTAATGCAGGTCAAGAAGAAGAGCTTAGAACTTACGAGGAGTGGAATGAAAACTGGCAGGTGCAATCACAGCTGTGAAAACAATATGCATGGTACAGGAGTCAATGTGACAATGATTGACTGGCTTGAGTTACTCATGTTAAATTTCCCTACTAAAGAAAATTTTTTTTTATAACTATAGCAAAATGTTTTTTTTTTTATTTATTTAAAACTTACAACAAATACAAGAATGTATAAGAGTTTAATAAAAGAAGAACTATACTGGACATTAACAATAACCTCTATCACACAATCCCAGTACTTAAAATAACACTATAGCTGATAGCCATATTACCACCAGTTACACATCCAACAACATGTCCTACAAAACCCCTCCTTTTACAATAATTAATAATGCCAGTGCAGACAAAAATATTTACATGCACCGTTCTAATACCTTAAGTAACCTAACAATTAGAGTATATACCCTTACCTCATTAAACCGTAATGGGAATTTACCAGAAGTTGGTGATGCATGAACAAAACAAAACACAAATATATAAAAGTAATAGGAAAACAGATATGGACATTACATTCCTATACAAAACCCTGTTTCAGCGGAAGAATATACCACCCAAAATATTTAATATCAATAATAATAATGCATCAACCATGAACCCTTCAACTGTCATAACAAAAATGAAATAAATGGAGTTTACACGTAAAATATAAGAGAATACATTACATGCTACATCATCTTTAAAACTAGCTTATGTAAATATTTATTATAATCCAAGACTAGAATTATCACATTGAAACATGTCAACTTGGTTCTGCCCACACAAGGACGAGGCAAGAAACACCCTCAATGAAGACTATACAGGCACTCCCCTACAACTAACTAAATCCTAGCTTAAGATCAAACTTGTTAATGACTGGACATAAGATCCTAATCTCCCTATCTGAAACACAAAGTATACATCCTTGACATAGTAATATTCACTACATGAATGTGTGTAAAAGTATTATAATCCTTCTTCGATATAGGAGTACAGCTTTAAAGGAAAGTACTTGCAGCTGCATGTTTAAAACTACAAAAATACAAGCATCATCCCATACTAACGTACACTTGACCTACAATGTTTCCTTGTTTTATTTTAATTTTTTTTTTTAACACCTCATATTAATAAAAAGGATTACTATAATTCACTGGCAGTATCATTGTTGTACATGTTCAGTCCTGCATGACATAAAACACCATAACAGCTGCGTAGCCACCTATCCTTGACAGTGAGTGTAATAAATATACCCAAACCAAAATATGTAAATGTATGACGTTCTAGGTGTTACTGAATGAAACCATGGTACTGAACGCAAATATAAAATAACCCTCCAGGAACATAACCAGTTCACGAATGTATGCTCCATAGCTCACTCTCTCATCACCTTCAACACTACTAGCAAAAACCTTACACCCCCCCTACATTAAAGGAGACCCAACCCTTGCCCCCCCCCTGTCCCTGAGAAGTTTGCTACAGTGAGATTACGATAACCTACCGAAAAACTTGTTTTCCCATCCCCCCCCCATATATTAATCTATTCCTACACCTTGCCCTAAAGAACCTTGCTGCTAACGCTTTTCCAACTGCCTTTAATCTGCCTCATTCCCAAGAAACATGCAAATTAATCTGCCATAACAACATCAAACCCTCCCACTTCATTTGTTTACCATTAACATCCATCTTTAACCTGTTACCCAATACCTCCAAAAATTTTAATTTAACTTTAAACGACAATGGACGATAATCTCCCAAACCCTTCCCCTCCCCCCCCTTCTTTGGCCCAAAACAACAACCCCGTTCTCTGCGTTTGCGCCATCCTACCACGTTTCAAACATAAAATTTTCAGAACCACCACTAGGCACTCCTCAGATCCTCCCAATGTGCTCTGTAAAAATCATTAGATAACCCATCTTTTCCCCCGGTGCCTTCCCCTGACTCAACCCATTCACCACCTCCCCCACCTCTGCCTCCTTAATGCCCCCCTCCAACATGTCCCGATCCCCCTGCCCCAAAAACCCTGATGAACCCCTATAGCTCTAAATGTTTCTAACCCCAAACCCACCCCTCCCCTTCTCTTCATTTCCGTAAACCAATAATCAGTATACCTACTGATGCAATCTGTGCCAGAGAGACCCTGTCCCTGCACATAACCCTCCCCCCCCCCCACGAAATATGTGCCACGGATTCCTCAACTGTCTGTCCTAAAATTTTCGGAGTACAAACCCGGTTGGCTTATCACCTTTTAGTACGTCCTCCAACCCTCCCTGGCCCTGAGTGCATCAAAACGTTCATTATGCATCTCCACTAAACGACTTTTTAAGTTCCCCCATAACTCCTCCCACACCTTCCCTCCCCCCCCCATAACAATCTTTTCAACTGGCCCTCTAAATAATTCTGCAACCCAAAAACCTCCAGCGTGCCCGTTCCCTGCCCCTCTTCTTAAAAAATCCTGAAATTCTGTACCTTTGCCTGAAAACTCCCACCAATCTAGCAAATCCACCTCCTCATCCCTAGCCTCCCAAAAAACCCCTTTTCCCCCATGCCTGAAAGGACCAACCTTTATCTTCCTCCTGTAAAAGCCTCACATTTAATTTCAAATACTCTGATATATTCTCGGAATTTCCATCCACCCGAAGGTCAGCCAACACTGCTCTGTGGTCAGACAAACCCACGTCTACTGTTCTAACCCTCTCCACTCCTATCCCCTGCCTCACATAAATCCTATCCAACCTTGCCCCATAAAATCCCCTGCACACAGGGTGCTCCCCCTGATACCCCCCCCCCCTGCCGACTACATCTACATACCCCGACATCTCGAAAAGCATCCCGTAAAACACCCAAACACACCCCGCCCCCCTAGGTATTACGTATCCATGCCTAATCACACAATTCCAATCACCTCCAATTATCGCAATAGCAGGTAAAGCCCTGAGATCGTATAACAATACGTCCCGAACAAAGTCTGTTTTTATGCTCACGTTGCCCCAAACGCGGGCATTTTAAACTCCCACAAAGCATACCCTGCTCTTCCCCCACCACCCATCCACCCGAACAACCCTCCCCCCCCCTCCCACCCCATGACTCGCAATGGACTGGTCTCCTTTTACTAAAACAGCCACTCCTCCCTTTAAAAGCATTGCCATGCTTACAAACAACTTATATCCTCTCAATCACAACTCACTACCTGACTTATGGTTATGCCTGTAGGAAACAAACATCCACGTCATACCTTTTGAGGAACCACTCCAACCATACCCTTTTTATTCAGTCTTGAGACCATTAGCATTTAGTGTTTTCACACCTGAATGGTCAAGGAAAGGCGGCTTGCCTCTGTGCCGCTGTGGCTTGCTCACACTTCTCTTCAAGCTGCTCACACTTTCCTTACTACTCTTTTTTTAAAAACCCCCCTGTCCCTCCCCCCCCCGATTTTCCCTGTACTCCCCCCCCCTGTAGGGGATTTTCATACCGCCTCTGCCCATGCCTTCTTATCTGGTCTTTGCCCAGGTGTTAAAACGTCGTCTAATTCAGTCAACCCCGCTGGCCGCTTCCTAGAGCTGCCTCCCAAAGCCATCTCTTCCTCAGGTACATCCTCCCTGTGTACCTCTGCCACCACAACTGTATCCTGTCCACTATTCCCTGTTACTCCCTTCTTCTCACTCAGCCCTTGCAATCGCTGCCTATCACTGGGCCGTCCATCCATGTCCTCTCCTACCAAAGCCTCCTCCAAGAATTCCTGGAGCACAGACTCTAAGGACAGCTCCTGTGTCGACTCCTCCACCACCACAGGCTTTGGAGGAGGATCTCCATCCTCCACCGGGAGTGTGACATACGTCCCCAACTGTTCTCCCTCCTTTTCCACCTCCTCACTCCATAGAGGAGTCCCAGTTTTCGCCGTCGCCACCACACTCGTCTGCTGGACCTCCTCCACCAAGGCTGGCACCCTTGGGGCAACTCTACGTGCACACTGCGCCGCTATATGTTCATAAGAGTTGCAAAGACGACACGTCCTCCTTTGTCCCGCATAAGACACATATACCCGAGTTCTGTTGCCTGGCAACATAACATACGAAAATATAGGCTTCTTTAATGTCATCTTGATGGTGTATGAACTTTCCGGGAGGCCCTCATATGGTCCATCCCTCCATACCCCTCCTCTAGCCTCATGAATGACTCCGTAGTTGCGGAAAACGTCCTCTATACCAAACTTGGTCGCCTCAAAGGGTACATTTCTCACTCGTACCCACGTGTAGTAAGTAGATACGTCATGCATGCACACATCCATCGTCGAGTTGAGGCACATTCGGCGTTCCTGGTACTCCTCCACCACACTGCTGTAGAAACTGGCCCTCGTAAACTTCACAAATACTCTTTTCAACCCGTTAAGGGCCACACCATACAGTTCCTCGTTAGGGATGCCGTATAGATCCCTAATAATTGCAGGAAGAAGTACGTTCATCGTAGCAGGGCTCAGAGAACCCCTTAACAGCTCAATGCAAACTGTGTTGATCCTCCTGCCGTTGTAATCCGCCATGTTTGATCAGTGAAAACTGCGCAGAAACCAGGTGAAGTGGGAGCTACTGCTCAGCCCGCCCGCACGACCCAATAGCGATGCGAACAATGGATATTGTTTGTATCTGTGTCACTCAACTATGTCAGTGAAATTATAACACAGAGAATAATAATAATATTCTTATTACTGGTGTTAGACGTAGTAGTAGTTGTAGTAAGGTTAGATTCAAAATTAATAGAAGTAGTAGTATTTATTACTTTATTGTTATTATTATTATTATAATTTCAAATAGTAGGATCATTGTCATTATTAAAATTATTAGTAGTAGTGCTAGTAGTAGAAATAGCAGTAGTAGTAATAATAGTAGAAGTAGTAACAGCAGCATTAGTATGGGGTAATATATTTGCCGTATTTAGTAAGTGAACCAAGAGTAACTTGACAGCGTCTCCCACAAGCCTTTTTTGTATTCTTTCATATTATTATTTAAGTCGTTTTTGCTTGGATCATTGTTTTTACAGTAACCATATATAGTCATTGCCTCTTTACTTAAGTGCACTTGGTACATATTCTGGTGAGCTTATCTCACTTGATGTGTCTGCATGAACAACAGA